CCATCCACCAAAGCACAACATGATATTGAAAGATGCATTCTTACCGAGGAGGGGGCGATCTACAGAAACCAATAGCAAACGTGTCCATATACTTCCACATACATTCATGCAAAGTGGCCCCTACTTTCTTGAACAGCACCATAGGGAGAAAAGATAAGACAGCCACATGGTGTTAGCACACAGCGCGTCTGCTACTGACAGCTTGAGCTGCCTGTAGATTTCATGACAGATGCCTTCACTGACACCTCATTTTGCTTTCAGGGTGGAGGCGGATGCCATGCCCGGGATTGCTAAAAAAAGTTTATTTTCCTAGCAACTGAAGACAGAAAGCTGTCGGTTGATGCAAGAGGTGTTTCAGAGCTAAACGGTATATACTGATTTGGGATGGGTATATGTGCAACATTTGAACAAAATCAAGCCAGGATCACTGTAGTTGTTGGACTCGTGCAGAAATCTCATGGCTTTGCCTAAGTGAGTGATGCAGGGCAAAGGAAGCCACAAAAAGAGATTCGGGATGGTGTAGGTGGTGGCACTTCCCTTTTAAAATCCGGCTCCTTTTACATCTAGCCACTGGACACCATTATTCAAGTATGCCCTTTGAATCGGAGCTTGGAAATGGTTCATTGTAAATCAGTGTGTTGCCCCTAATTTCTTAAACATTTTCATAACAAATTCAACAGTCCTTATTTTAACCTTTTGACACTGCCTTCATAGAGAAAATCATTTCTGGCTATGTGAAGGCAATATTTAGGGGGCATGTCTAGCTTTAGGGAAAGAAGACTGATATGGAGGATATGATAGTATTCTACAAATACTTGAAAGACTGTCACACTGAGAAAAACAAGCATCTCATTCGTTCGTTCGTTCGTTCGTTCGTTCGTTCGTTTCATTCATTCTTCATTCATTCATTCATTCATTCATTCATTCATCCACTTATTTACATTTTTATACCGTCCAATGTGTTGCAGAACCACTACTCTGGGTAGCTAACAAGATGAAATGAAATGACATAATATAAAACACCATTGGAAATACAAATAAGGCATCAAACACAATACAACAACTTTTAAAAGACAATCTCTAAGGTCCAAATTTATTCCGAATTTGTAAAGGATATATCTGATGGAGATCATCAAGCAAAAATTATATATTCACCATCCATATTGAGCAGGGGCTTGATCATCTTATAGGCCTCTTGATCTGCTTCTTGCTTAAAGTGTTTTTTCCAGAACTGGACAGAGAGCTCAAGATGAGGCCTAACCAGTGCCAAATAGAGGGGGATTATTGCTTTA